CTATTATTATTCATGAAGGGATGGAACCTAATCAAGAGCAGAAAATCACATTGATTCCCTCTGGGAATAAATAAATAAAAAAATCTTACAAAGAAAAAGAGAAAAATGGTGTAGTGTTTCCGCTCAAAATTGATCACAATATTACAGGCAACTCATTGTAGGAGGAAAAGCCACAAAAATCAATACAAAACAGTGACACATAAGATCCGTTTACTTTTCAGTTTTCTTTTCTATTTTTCATTGTCCGATTTTCTGTTTTAATTTTTCAGTTTTTCTATCTCCAATTTGCTATTTTCATTTTCCAGTTTTTCATTTTCAAATTTGAAAACATGTTCATAAATTTTTTTCACCCAATTATGTGATGCCCGAAGGGCTGAAAGTATGGTCCCGATCCGACACCGAACCTATTACAGCGCAAGCAAGGTACTCAATCTTGGGTATAGGAAAGTTGGGACCGAAATCGGCCGGTCCCGGTCTATCCCAACTGCTAGTTTGACTAATTCTTTTCATTTTTCCATATTGTTTGGCAACTCAACGACTCTTTTGCAACTCTTTACTTTGAAAAAATGATTTAAAAAGAGAAAATTATCCCTCATAAGACTAAAACATCATGCATTTCCCAAGATATGACATAGTTATGTTTTTTTTCCTATTTTGATGGTTCAATAAGATGCATGGTGATCTCACATCATTCATCCGTATTCCACGGATATCCTCATCAATAGGTCAATTAATTAATATGGTAACCATTTTCCTGGTTTTTTTTTTGCAAATGATATGCACGTTCTATCACTTCTATGTGCTAGACACCACATGTAACATGTTTAATACTACGTATCATTCCTAAAAAAGGACTTAACACATACTCCGTATACCATAAATGCTTTCGTTGATACTATTAATATTATTATTGTGATTACTATTATTATTATTATTATTATAATTATTATTACTACTACTATTATCATCATCATCGTCGTCGTCGTCGTCATCATCATCTATTGCCCTTTCATTATTGTCTTCTATTACTGCCCTTTGATTATTGTACGCTATTACTGGCATTTCATTACTGCGCGTCTCATATTACTGTCATTTCATTAATGTATATCTTTTATTACTGCCCTTTAATTATTGTACATATTCTATTAATGCCCTTTCATTACAGTACATATTCAATTACTGCCCTTTTATTATTGTTTTCAATTACTTCCTTTTCGTTATTGTCTTCAATTACTGCCCTTTTATTATTGTTTTCAATTAATGCCTTTTCGCTATTGTCTTCAATTACTGCCTTTTCGTTATTGTCTTCAATTACTGCCCTTTAATTATTGTTTTCAATTACTGCCTTTTTCGTTATTGTCTTCTATTATTACTGCCTTTTCATTACTGTGTATTACCGATTACAACTCCAAATACGACTACAATAGGTGAAGTTCTATCATGATTAGTCTAAAGCAATAATTTTCCGGAATCTTGCCCGATAATATTGTTTAATTTTTGTGAAATCAAATTTAATAACTTTTTATGATCTTTCCAATTGTATCAATACTCTATAAAAATTTGAAAAACAAAAACTTTTTTTTCCTAAATATCTTTTTTAGCTAGATTTTGTTTTTGGTTTTTCATATGCAATATTGATATCATTTGAAAGATCATAAAAAAAATTGATATACATTTTTTAAAAATTGGATCAAAATTGAAAATTTTAAAACAACTACAAAATAATATGAGGGTGTTCACTAAGTTTCCCGTTAAATACGAAATATCATGTATGTATCGATATCTTGTGGTAACGAACTAAGGACATTTCTTCCTAAACTTTTGCTCTGCATTAAATATCATGTATCCGTATTTAATCATGTATCATGCATGTATCATGTATCATGTATCATGTATCGTAGATAGTAAATTTTAGTCATACAACACATACATTATGTTTTTGGTCATATAATGAGAAAACCTCTCTCTTCTAGTCATAGGGCCGTATTTTTCCCATTTAAAAATGGCGACCGGACCGCTGGATCATCGATCAAACCCGACAAGCACCGCCGGGTTATTGACCAACCACTCCGGGACATCCATGTCATCAACCGAATCGGAAAGGGACTGTTGAGTCATTGACCGTACCAGATAGGGACCTTCGGGTTGTTGACGTGATCGGGACTGCCCGACCGTTGACCGGACGGGATAGGTACCGCCGGGTCATCGACTGACCGGACAGGGACCGTCGAGTCGTCGACCGGATTGGACAAGAACCGGCGAGTCGTTGACTGGAGTGGACAGGGATCATCGGATCGTCAATCGGATCAGACAGGGACCGCCGGGTCGTCGATCGGACTGGATAGGGATCGTCGAGTCGTCGACCGCTAGGCAGTCAGGTCATCGACTGGACCGGTTAGGGACCGCCGAGTCGTTGACTGGGACCGAAGCAGGACCGGGCCACCACTAAGCGTAAGTATGCAAATTCATTACAATTGTACTGCAACATCCGTGTATTTCAAATTTTGAAAACTAGTAAAACTCGCCTTTCTAATTCAATAAGGAAAATATAGACAGAGAAATATTCAGGTCAGGTATACCTGACCACTGCCCCCGTCCGGCCTCCTCCATTTGGGGGTCTTCCCGATGGTATTTTTTGCTCAAATTTTTTGTGTAGGTTCCTCATTAAGTCTAGTTCATCCATACCAAATTTCAGCCAAAAATTCAATCGGGAAGGTCGTCAAATGATTTTTGCAAGTTAACTGGTCCGGAATATGTATTTTCCGGACCAGTTAACTTGCAAAAATCATTTGACGACCTTCCCGATCGAAGTTTTGGCTGAAATTTGGTATGGATAAACTAGACTTGATGAGGAACATACACAAAAAATTTGAGCAAAAAATACCACCGGGAAGGCCCCCAAAAGGAGGAGGCCGGACGGCGGCTCCGGTCAGGTATACCTGACCGGAAGATTACTCAATATAGACATATCTCCTTTTTTCGAATATGATTTGGTAAATGCATTTTCCTGATTACCTTTCCCAATTTTCTAACAATCTTTGTCTTATAAACATGTTTTCTGCTTTCCTAAACTAGTTTTCCAGTTTTTTGAAAAACTAGAAAATATCTGTTAATAAACAAGCCCTAATGAGTAATGTCTGCCGCACATTGGGGAACCTTTTATGTGACAGTATTCCAATATCTACTTCGTTCATTTGTCATTTATTTAATGGTAAGAGCGCGTTTGGTTGGATGTAAAATGATTGATTACTTTGCATGTGAAGTTTAGGGGCATAAAAGGTTTACACAGTTTAATTTGATTATTTGATATAAGTTGTTGGACACTTTTAAAATACTACCTCCGTCCCCCTAAGTTTGGGACAAGAGAAGGTGACACGGTTATTAATAAAAGTGGGTTTATGTGATTGATATTGAATTGATAAAGTAAGAATAAAGTAGGAATGATTTAGAACCACACAAACTTTACCAAATAAGGTATGAGACAATCTTAGTGGGACGGACCGAAATAGCAAAATAGGACAATCATAGTGGGACGGAGGGAGTACATTTCACAATGTACCATGTAAAGTATTTACGTGGAGAGGGGGTAAAATAATTTGCATGCTTTTTATAAAGCACTGCAACGCATTTACATGCAATTTAAAAATAAATTAGACATCTGACCAAACAATGTAATCTATTAAATATCCAAAGTGATTATTTCCATAAACTTTACATTCAATCATTCCGCGTACAAAAATTTAACATGTAAACTACCAAACTATCACCGAGGTAAATATGAAGTACACTTGTACAACTGCAATTGTATTTATAATTATAGTATTAAATTAAATTAAAATTAGTGTCCGGCCCATCCTAGCCCAAGCCTACTAAGTACTAACCTACGTTTCAGTTGTTACTAGTGGGCCCATGAGCCCATGGGACCAACCTATCCCAATTGTCGAAAATCCCAGCCCATAAGGGTCACGGGCCAGCCCAGTCCATCATTTGAAGGGGTGGCATGGGGCAAAGCATTTAAAACCTAGCCCAGCCCACTGGCCCGACCCGTCAAGACCCATCCCAGCCCAAAAGCCCTCTACATACTAATTAATTTTATATACTAATTTCATAATTGGTAAATACATGAAAGTAATGAGTTATAAAGATTGAAACATTAATTTGCTTAAAAGATTGGACATGATCATAAACTAGGATGCATAATAAGGTAATATTGAATCAAGAAGGGGAATATGATACAAATATTATTGCATCGGACGAATTGGATGACTACGACTCATATTGAAGAGAATGAAGTTCTGGATGAATGTTAGGTATAAAAGTTTGTGATACAGTTAAGAAGTTTAGATATAGAAACCCACATGTGCTATTTGTACATCTCTATTTCAAGAGTGTACTACCAAAAACTGAAGAATAGATAAATTTGAACTTTAATTTTATTATTATTACATTATTTGGAGTAATAAATTCTTTTTCAATGATTTAGTTGATTACATCGTATTCTGTGAATTTGTGATATATAATTATATAAAGAATTTTGAATTTTTTGTAAGCTCATCTAGAGCCAGCCCTATTAGTGACATGTGGGCCAGGCCGGCCAGGCCTCTTAGGCCTTAGTACTTTCTTCGTTCTTAAATAAATGCAACATTCAACATTTCACATGTGGCGAGACAAAACTTTGACCATTAATATATATAAATTTGTATTAGTAAAAAAATTAAAAAAATTAGATATTGAAAATTTACAATGAGACTAATTTAACAATATTTTTTCATAAAAAACATTCATACATTAATAAATAAAACACAGTCAAAGTAGAACACGTGAATAATGTAAAATTCCATATATTGCATTTATTTAAAACGGATGTAGTATATAGACGGGTGAGGGTTGCAATTTCGTTACAAAAGCTCGGCCCGGCCCAGCTCATTTATTAATTATTTACATTGAGCTCTGTCCGACCCAGCCCAAACCCATTAATTTTGGGGCGGTGTGTCCCAGCCCAGCCCATTGATGATCTCTATGTTCCACCACTTCCGTCCGGCCACGAAGAGAGAAGCGACGGACCACGAAGCCCTCCACACTCTCGTCTGGCCAGCCGACCTGCACAGCAGCACTCTTGTGAAGCCCTCTAGCTCTCTGCCTCTCTCCCAATCGTCCAGGTATTACTCTTTGAGTCTTTGTTTATAACTTTTTTTTTGTTTTTTTTAATTCTATTTGATTATTAGTTGAATTTTTTAGTAGGTAATAAAAATGTGTTCATTCATTACAACAATTACTATTACTTATGGAATATTAGAGAATAATCTATCTAGTGTTTGGGCATGTAAGAAAGGATTAAATATTTAAATTCAATTTTCAAATTTCGATTTAGGTCGAAATGTTTAATGTACAATACCGTTATTACTTATTAGTTATTACATTATGATTTATTAGTTTTATACAATGGTGTTTATTAATTATAACGATTAATGATATTATCAATTCAGCAAAGGTCTTAAAGATTAATTTAAAATGTACTTCATAATTTTAGTCCTTGTAATTTTTAATACATCATAATTTCATATACAATTGAAGATTAGAGAATAAATTTAGATACAAAGTTTAACGTGTTAATGGTCCTAACATCACTATGCTCAAACTCGACAAGGATAACTATTCCAACTCAAAATCAAGCTCGTGTTCGTGCTCGATGCTTGTTAAGCCACCGGCGTTAATATATTCAAATCAATCTCAAACTCGAATAGTTAAAAAAAACTCAGTTCGATAATAGCTGTAAGCTAAACCTTGTGTGCAGTAACAATTGTTTTTACTCTATAGCCCATCTCACCTCTCATTCCTAGATCCACCCACCCCTGTTTGGACTATTTATTCCATTTAGGTCACCAGACTTTTGATACACAATAACACAAATTTGAAATAAAAATCCCTAATTGTGAACCATGTGAGTCAAAGTTATAAACAAAAACCGGAGGTAGAGAATTTGAAATTTTGTTGAGAAGTACACAATGCTGAAATTAATACTACGTGTTTGAAATAACTAATCCCTAACTTGAAATTTAGAATTACAGAATTTGATATTCAAATTTAATACTCCGTTAGAAAAAAGATAATTTTTTTAAATATTATTAAAGCCGATCACAGTTGTTATGAAATAGAGATCTAAATCCCTAACTGCAATGCTCAATTGGTGATAGATAACACCAAAATCCAGATACACAATAGGAGAATTTACGTATATTAAGTACTGAATTCAGAGAATAGCTCAGAAATTCCTTAAGCAAACAACAATGGAGGAAGCAGTAAACCAGCATACAAAGAGAAGAACAGTTGAGACACTTCGAGTAGTCTCACACTCCCAAATCCCATTCCAATCCCAAAATTCTGCCTATCTCCCTTCTTCTCTCCTTCCCACTCTTATAGTCATTTGTATTCATATTGGCTGGTCCAAACTTCCTGAATTACATGGCCCAGAGCCCTTATTTATACAATATCGCACTATTTAATATTATTCCATTATTCTTATTATTATTTACTGCCCAGGTCCCTATCAATTGGAAACCAAATTTGGATAAAGAGAATTCCTAACTTTTGTTTAGAAAATTTGATGTGCAAAACCTCTAACTTGAAATTGGATATAGAGTTCCTAAATTTTGTTCAGAAACTTTGAAGCACAAAATCTCTAACTTGAAATTTAGAAATACAAACTTTGTCATGTACAGAAATCGCAAAATCCAAATTTGTTAATTGTTTAGGACAAAGTGATAGCAAGAACTTCAAATGCATTTAGTGCTCTTTAACTAAGTGTCAATCATGTTTAGAACAATTAAATCTTAACTTGTTAAGTCTCCATGTCAATCCTTCGTGTTTAGGATTATGAACTCTTTGCCATTATTGTCACCTGGTTAAGAATCTTTTAACATCTATTGACAGGTCTACTCAGAACAGTAAATCAGTAACACAAAACTTAAACTTGTTTGGAACTCAACCTTAGGCTATCAGCAGTTTATACAAGCCAAAATGGCGCATCGCATGGTCTTCGGATCATTGCGAGGAGCTGCACAGAAGCTTCTGTGGCAACATAAAGCGCTTTTAACCACAACTAGGAATTTCATTTCGGAAATGCGAAAGGAAGCTTTTGAAGGAAACATCATTAGATTACTCCGAAGTGAGATCCAATATGAGATTGACAACTCATTTCCCTCCAAGGTATTTTATTTTTGTTTTTTTTCCGACAGACCTATTCAATTATCTGTTATGTAGTAATTTCTTTAATTTTGATTCCTTAATTATAAACTCTCTGCTAAGATTTTTCGTTCATAGACAATAAAGCTACTTCTTGGAAAGACCCAATACTTTCGCTGATTTTTCCTTATATATTGATCCCTTTGATTTTTTTGAAATGGTTGTTGAAGGTAATGATTATAATGGTTACAGTAATTGATAAAAATATCTTGAGAGGAAAACTTGAAGCTTTAGATTGCTTAGTCCAACTAGTGTGACCTGCTTTCACAATGCTAGGGTTGTTTAGCGTAATTTTTAACCAGTATTCCTTGTTTAGGATTCTAAATAAGTAAATCCCCTGTTTATAGTTTAGTAAACTATTTCAGCTCTCCTAAGGTATGGAAGGTAAATTTTGACATTTTCATTTCTTCCTTTTTCATATTCCTTGTGCAATATTGTGCTCATCAGTCATCACATCAATTTCCCCTCCCTTTGATTAACAGCTTTTTTGGAACTGCAGCCTCTCCCTAAATTTGGACCATTTATGATTGATGAAAGGCCGGGAGAGCAATGGACTAGACTTAATAGGAAATTTGGAGAGAAAGAAGAGATAAAGATTGATGTGACCATGTTTGATGGATTTGTTCCGGTTAAAAAAGGTGGTAATGTTTCCCAAGAAGATGAAGTGTATCTTCATGCTACAATGATTGTTAATATCTCTAAAGGAGAAAACAATGATGTGTTGGAGTTTGTTTGCTCTGCATGGCCTAACAGCATTGAGATCCGTAAAGTTGCAATGCGTATGCATGGTTCAGCTACAGCTCAACTTTACACTGGACCCCCCTTTAAGTATGGATCCTCCATGTAACTTACTGCTCAATTTTATATTGGCTTTTATCTTATATTTAGAGTAAATTGCACTTATGGTCGCTTGACTGCCATGGCATTGATATGATACTTTTGGCTCCCAACTTTTAGTTTTCTATTTTTAGTTTTTGATAAAAAGAATGTTATCTTTGGTCTAAAATTTTCAAATGCTCACGCTATGTGAATATTTTATAAAATATCATTGTACCATATTTTTGGCATTTTGGATATTTTAAATCACAAAGTAGAACATTTCTAAAAGTTGAGTAGTAAAAGTGGAAATGTCACTGTAGCTAAATGGCCACACACTATGTGAATATTTTATTAAATATCATTGTACTATATTTGAGGGCGTTCTGGATATTTTAAACTACAAAGTGGAACATTTTTAAAAGTTGAGTAGTAAGAGTGGAAATACCACTGTAGTCAAATGGCCAAAAGTGGGATTTACTCGTCGATCTATAACTGAGTCTTAATTGCTTGTTAACCTTTTGTACATTGGAAATGTTGTGAAGCATATTCCTAAGGGCTAAAGGTTTGTAACTCATTGTCATGACCACAATTCATGCATTTGCTAGCTCTGTTTTATCAGAAAATGTCATTTAACTCATTTTATTCTTGAGATCAAGTCGCCAAGGGGATTATTGTTTTTTTTTTTTACTTTTTTCTTAGAAGTAATGATCACAGGGTGCCAATTCGATTTGACTAAAGAGTTTCACATACCATATAGTGAATTTAGTTACTCACAAGTTTACTATTTCTCACATGAATGCTATGTTATGGCCGTTTTGCTGTCGTTGTTGCTGATAAGAGCAAAGTACATGGTGGAACATCATGGCCTAATTGCTGTTTGGCTCTTTTATTTGAAGGGAACTAGATGATAAACTGCAGGATGAACTCTATAACTTCCTAGAGACCAGGGGAATCGATGATGATATGTGTGTGTTCTTAAATCACTACATGAGGAACAAAGCCAAAATTGAATACATTCGTTGGATGGGAAAGGCCAAATCTTTCATAGAGAGGAAGTAGGGGAGGTACTTATTTTTTCACTGTAAAAGCACTACACAAGTGTTTCTATTTTTCGACAGTGTTTTGTTGGTGCCTTGACATAGTAAAAAATGTCCTTGTTGATAAGAGCAAAGTTAATGGTGGAACATCATGGCCTATTTGCTGTGTGGTCCTTTATTTTAAGGGAACTAGATGATAAACTGCATGATGAACTCTATAACTTCCTAGAGACCAGGGGAATCGATGATGATATTGGTGTGTTCTTAAAGCACTACATGAGGAACAAAGCCAAAATTGAATACATTCATTGGATGGGAAAGGCAAAATCTTCCAGAGAGGAAGTAGGGGAGCTACTTATTTTTTCTCTGTAAAAACAGTACACACATTGTGTTTCTATTTTCCGACATTGTTTTGTCAAGAGTTTTGGTATTATGCAGAAACTAAGCCAATTAAAGCAATGTTCGTAAATGATTTTCATATATTGCGAATTGATCTTATGTGCTTCTGAATATGCATAAGACTTGTATGCTGGGATTGATATCAACTAGCTGACCCCAAAATCTTTTGGGAATAAGGCTTGGATGTTGTTGATTATCTTGCTTCTATGTTTTTCATGAATTGGACAAAGTTTGGGGGAGATGAAATATATGTAGTAGTAGTGTAGTACTTTATTCAGTAGAAATCATTTTGATCCCAATGGACAAATATAGCAAGATAGGTGATATTGAAGAAAGTTTTTGCTTATTTTATTCTATTTTATTATATTAATTGCACATTCAAACAACTGAGAGTTAGATACCATCCACGAAAGTTCATAATATGAAGTGGCTAAAAGGTATTGTGGAGCAGATTAAATGATGCAACCTTGTCATAAATTGCCTCACTATTTCAGTGAGAACGCAATTTAATGCAAGTAGGATATGTATTTACTTTTTACTTTAGATCAGCTTTGCACACAGACACATTCAACAGCATAGCTTGATCTTGCCTCCAAGTCATGTAATGCCAATGACTTTTTATTTGGAACTGAAATTGTGTTTGATTTTCTTTGATAAGACTGATTTGTTCAATGTGTGTACTGAAATGTGAGAGGGACTGCCAACTAGCAATTAGTTGGCAGGAATCCCAAAGGTAGATGATGAATTTAGACCCAAAACTCAGCATTATCATGCTCCACATGTAAAGGTCTTTTTGTTGCTCCAAGTCTCCACAAAATAACTAAATTTTGCTCAAAAGACCACGGCTCATCTGGTAATAACACAACTAGTGTTGCTCTCAAGATAAAAATGAATTAAGAATCTTTGAGTTCCGATTTACTCAATGTGTGTGCCCTTTTCTAGGCGCCAAACCATTCTCATACTTTCATGGAAATTAGAGCTAGCCGATCTATCACTTTTCACTTTTCATACCATTGCCAAAGCATATTTGGGACAACACTCTTCTAACTGGTGAGACCCTTGGCAACGCCTTTGCCTCCCTTGCATCGTCCTTAAGCTCTCCATCAAACACCAAACCTGTATCCTCATTGATTGATACATACTATATACCAGGGGCCCTTTAAGTATGCATCCCCCCACACATCTCAATTTCCTAAAGGCTCTTATCTTATATTTATAGTAAATTCCACTTATGGTCACTTGACTACTGTGGCATTAATACTATTTTTCCTCCAACATTTATTTTTCTGTTTTTGGTAAAAAAGAATTTGACTTTTAGCCTTAAATTTCCAAATGCTCACTCCATGTGAATATTTTTATAAAATATCATTAAACCATATTTGAGTAGTAAAAGTGGAAATGCCATTGTAGTTTGAGTCTTCATTGCTTGTTAACCATTTGGACATTGAAAATGTTGGTAGCATATTCCCAATGGTGTATTACTCATTGTCACGATAAACTTCATGCGTAGTTTGAGCTGAAAATAATCTTTGATTCTTGAGATCAAGATGACTAGCAGATTATTGATTATTTTAAATTCTTCTTACAAGTCATGGTCACAGGGTGCCAATTGGACATGACTACTGCAATGTTTCATGTATCATATAGTGAATTTAGTTATAGATAAATTACTATTTTTTGCATGAATGATCTTTGTTATGTGCGTTTTGCTGAAATTGTTGTTGATAGGATCAAAGTACACGGTCGGACATTATAGTCTAATTGATGTTTGATTTTTTATTTTAAGGGAACTAGATGATAAACATTATAATTTCCTAGAGATCAGGGAATCGATGATGCTCTGGGTGTGTTCTTAAATCACTACATGAAAAACAAAGACAAGATTAATCTACAGTGTCTGCTGCTTTCTGCATTCGTTTGAACCAAATTAGTGATGCTCCGGGTGTGTACTTAATAATCAGTCCAAAATGATCTTTGTTTTTCCTTTACATTTCATCAAGTCACATTAGAAAGAAAATTTTGGGATGAATGAACTATACAAAATACTAATTTTGGAGAGTAATGGCTTACCCTATTGGGTGCCTTGACCATATATTTATAATAAACGTAATTAGGGAAATTACACACAAGTCCAGAGAGAATACATTATTACACCCCCTCAATCTGTGCAGGGGAAACAACGCGCAGATTGGAACGTAAAAACTCAAAACGCTGACTAGATAAATTTTTAGTAAATATATCAGCTAACTGGAGTTGTGTGGGAATGTACTTCACAATAAGGTCCCCATGAGCTACTCTTTCCCGTACAAAATGATAATCAATCTTGATGTGCTTGCTGCGATCATGTTGAATTGGATTCACCGCCAAATACGAGGCCGAAACATTGTCACAATAAAGTTTGACTGGGGCCGAGATATAAATACCCATGTCAGCCAGAAGAGAACGAACAAAGAGTGTATCTTGAACAGTATAAGCTATGGCCCTATACTCTGCTTCAGTGGAGGATTTGGAGACAGTTGGTTGCTTCTTGGATCGCCATGAAATTAAATTGGAACCAAGAAAAACCGCATAACCTGTAGTGGAACGAGAACTGTCCGGACAACCTGCCCAATCGGCATCCGAATAAGCTATAAGAACAGAAATATTTTTATCAGACCGAAGCCAAAGGCCGTGAGCTGCTGTTCCTTGTAAGTACCTGTAAATTCTCTTAACAGCTAATAAATGTGAGGTTCGTGGAGCATGCATAAACTGAGATACCAGATGAACAGCATAGGTAATGTCAGGTCTAGTTAAAATTAAATACTGAAGAGCTCCTACCATACTGCGGTACTCAGTAGAATCAGATAAAAGTTCACCATCTGTGAGGGACAGAGAGGTACGAGATGGGAGTGGGGTGCGAACCGGTTTGACAGTGTGAAGATGAAAACGATGTAGCAGATCAGAAATATATTTAGCTTGAGATATAAATAGACCAGTGGATGTACGGGTTGCCTGAATCCCCAAAAAATAATGGATATCTCCGAGATCTTTCATTGCAAACTGGCGAGACAACATATGAATAACAGACTGAACAAAAGATAAAGAGGATCCTGTAATTAAAATATCATCCACATATAAGAGAATATATACTGTCTGAGACTGAGTACGATACACAAACATGGAAGAATCAGACTTACTTTGAGAGAAACCATGACTTAATAAAAAACCACTGAAGCGATGAAACCAAGCTCGTGGAGCTTGTTTTAGACCATACAGAGCCTTGCGCAGGCGACACACATGATTAGGAAAAGAAGGATGAATGAACCCTTGGGGTTGATACATGTACACTTCTTCAGTCAGAAAACCATGTAAGAAAGCATTTTTAACGTCAAGTTGACGAACAGACCACCCCAAAGAGACAGCAACAGAGAGAATGAGACGAACAGTAGTAGGTTTAACAACAGGACTAAAGGTTTCAGTAAAATCAACGCCAGCCTGTTGTTTAAAACCCTGAGCAACTAACCGGGCTTTATGACGCTCAATAGACCCATCAGATAGATATTTTGTCTTATAAATCCACCTACAACCAACCACATTTTTAGTAGGATCACAAGGTACTAAATCCCATGTTCTATTAGCAATTAAAGCATTAAATTCATCAGCCATGGCTGCCCGCCAAATATGACTCTTATTAGCCTGAGAAAAACAAGTAGGATCATCCGGGGGAGAAAAAACACTTAAATTAAAAATGGTTTTCGGTTTAAAAATACCATTTTTGGCACGAGTCCGCATGGGATGAACATTAGTAGAACCAAGCAGTGGTAGTGGGTGATCTGCCAAGGATGGGGACGGTGTATCCCTCGACAGTGAACGGATATGGGCAGTGGAGGAAGAGGACGAGTTGACAATGGGTGTACTGCTTGGAGTGGTGTTTGAGGAGACAGGTGTTGTAAGGTGGGAGACAGGTATAGCTGGAGAGGAAATATGTGGTGGTGAGGCGGATGGTGAGTTCTGGGTCTCGGCAGTGGGCTCAACAATTCTGGAGGGCAGCTGGGATGTGACAAAGTTGTGGAGGGGTAGTGGGGTTGGTCTGGTAGACGTTGACAACCAAGAAGTAGGGACATTGGAGGAAGATGGTCCGTTTGGTGGAAGTAATTTTGGATAGGGAAAAATGTGCTCGTGAAAAGTAACATCCCTGCTTACATAAACTCGACCAGTAGACGGGGATAGACAACGATAGCCCTTATAGCCCGGAGCATACCCAATAAAAACACAATGTATAGAGCGTGGTGATAGCTTATTGTTTGAGGCAGCAATAAAATTAGGAAAACACGAACAACCAAAAACACGCATGAAATTGTAATCAGGAATTTTATTGAAGATCTTTTCATATGGAGATAGACCATCCAAAACAGGTGTAGGTAATCGATTAATAATAAAAGTGGCAGTATAAAGAGCATCAACCCAAAAGTGACCAGGAATAGAAGAATCAATTAACATGGTTCTGGTTAATTCTAGGAGATGTTTATGTTTTCGTTCTGCTACACCATTTTGGGCCGGAGTGTCCGGACAAGATTTGCGAAATAAAATTCCTGATTTTAGAAAATGTTGGCGAAAAGAGAAGTTATCAAATTCACCTCCCCCATCACTCTGAAAAATTTTGATTTTTAAATTCAATAAATTTTCAACAAGAGTCTGGAAATTAGAAAAATGATTGAAAACCTCAGACTTGCGGCGCATCGGATAAATCCAAGTATATCTAGAAAAATCATCAATAAAGGACACATAATACTTAAAGCCCAAATTGGATAAAATCGGAGATTGCCAAACATCAGAATGAATAAGTTGTAAAGGAGCAGTAGTATCATGTGTAGCATCACAAAACGACAGTCTGTGGGATTTACCCAGTTTACACGAAACACAAGCATGATTAAAAGAGGAAGAGCTAGAAATTAATTTATTTTGCCTAAGACGACCAAGAACTCTATCACCACAATGCCCCAGACGCTTGTGCCAAATTGGCCCAGGAACTACACGGGCTTGAAAAGCATGAAAGGGATATACGTGATCTCGATTAGGTGCCTGAAGAAGAAGCTCCCCCGTTTGATTGTCCTTGACAAGAAAAGAGTTTTTATTAAAAATTACTTGACATGCATTATCCGCACACAATTTTTGAATAGAAAGCAAATTATATTTAATGTGTGGGACATGATAAACAGAGTTAAGGTTTAATGGGCGGCCATGAGTAGCTAGCTTTAAAT